GTGCAAGTGGTGGAGTTGGATGTGAAAGTGGAGGTGGTGTCATTTTTTAAAATGAATGATGGTATTTTGGGAATTAAAAAAATTCATTACATGTTCATCTCTGCTTCTTTTGAAAGTAGCTTTGAAAAGCAACTCAGAGCCTGCTTTTAAAAGCTGCTGTCAAAAAGTTATTGCTTTTAAAATAATTGATATATTTTCTTTTTACCAAACACCTTAAACTGCTTAACTTTAAAGTGAAGCAGGTTTTTGGCAAAAAAAAGCAATCCCAAACGGGGCCTTAGTGTATGAAAGGCGACACATGTAAGGGAGATGGTTCAAAAAAGAAGGTTATAGAGAAGGTTGCTAGCATTCCCCATCTTTAAAAGCCATATAATACCCATAATTACAAGAAATGGTGGTTGGCCCAGGTGGTGGCGTGGACGTGGACCTTCTTAATTTTGTTCTTTGCTAAGCGCATGGGCCTTCTCCTAGATACGCCATGGAATCTCAAAGAGTTGTAGGTGACTTACTTCTATGAAAGAAAACTTGGCCCCGACAGGTGATTTATAAATAGATTATTTTGTAATTAAAAAAAACTGTTATATGGTTATTCTTTAGAGATATTTAGTTATATACCCATTCTTAGCACAAAAAATATAAATAAACCCTATACCATTTAATTTCTAAAAACAAACCCAAAAAATAATAGCTGGCTCTATTTAATTTAATTTTGATTATTAAATTACTTTGATGCCCTATTGAGTGTTTTGGATTTTTTATAAGCTTTTGGAGTTAGGGCTTGTTTTAAGAAATCGATGGCAGTTTTATAATTTACAAGAAATTAAAAGCCTCTTTGTTATGTTGTAAATGGGATTTGGGTGTATTTATAAAGTCCATTTCATATATGTTATTTTTATAATTTGTGCCCCTATATTTGGTATAATAGTGAATCTCTCTATTCTTTACGCAATGTCAAATTTGATATTTTTCTTTTGTTATTTTTTAAGTTGGACAAAATACCATGCCTGCAATTTTTTATTTGTTTCATTAAATATGAACAAGAGGAGCAATTTTTATTATTTATAAAATTATAGTCTTGTCTACAATCGGTTGCATGCAAATAGGTTTTGCATCTGAGAGACGGAAACAATATAATTTAGAACAGGAGGGGCACCTAGCAATTTAGTTTGTTTAACTCAAGGTAGGTCTATCTCATTAGGGTAACGAGAGACATAGACACAAATTGGTTGTATGCAAGAATATTTACAGAATATGATCGTTTAGAACAAACAAAAAGAAACTACTTATTCTGACGTGTAGTCATTCTGGTACATAATGATGGGATCACAAAATCATAAATCCTCGTACACGATGGAGTAGGTACGTACATAGGTATAAAATTCACTAGCAATTTCCAATTTCACAAATGTGCGGAAAGAAAAATTAAAACCATAGCCAATGCTAGAGAGAGAGAGAGAGAGAGTGAGAGAGAACGCTAGAGCCAATGCTAAGCGAGAGTGATCTTCTGATATACACAACTCTATGTATGCATAGCAGTTTTTCTATGTTCAGGATGTCTTAAATATATTTATTTATTTTAAATGTACACATCTCTTTTTTAAGGTTATCCAACAATGCATTTCAACAATTGGAATCTTTTATACTTTTTTATCTTGCTTTTTAAAGGGTCATCCCTTCTAAAAAAATTAAATTAAATTAAATAGGAACTCGTTTGACCATTTTACTATCATTGCTATTATTTTCATTATTTATCGAAAACATGGTGCTTTTCTATTTATTTAATCACAATTAGATGGCATACCAAACGTTTTTCGATTTGCCTTTTTTTTGTATAAAGAAAATATTTGAATGACAATCTAAAAAAATGAATAGTTGAATTCATAAGATCGATCACATCATAGATTTGGATACAAACGAGTGATTGATTACTATCATGTAATAATTTTGGATGATTTTATTTGTTTGTTAGAAGGAACCTCATCAACTTTGTCTAAATTTTAGTTTGAAGGGTCTCTGACAACCATGCTCCCCAACAAACAATCATTTTCTTGTAACACTAGGTTAGTTTAAATTTGTGTAATTTCGTCCTCTACTAAGCGCGTAGGCCTTCCAGAAGGTCGAGCCACAAATGTCAAGCAGCAGTAGGTGATTTATACAGACGAAAACTTGATCTTATGTGTTACGTGTGAAGAAAATATTAAGTATACATTTGTGGTTACTTAGGAAGTTTTTAAGCAACTATATTTATAATAGAATAGTTTTTAATTATAAATATGAGACAGCATTTCTGGGTGGAAATGTCGCGGCACATTCTTCTCTTCCCTGGACTTTCCATGTATTGGCTTCAGAAAGTCACCATTGCAAAGCTAGCACTTAAAAAATGGATGATGCGCGCAACCTTGGAACCATGATATCTTTTGGTCGAATTATCTTCTGTTTACATCTTTTATTTAGTTGTTTATGCCCCGGGGGAGACACCTCCCATACGCTGCCATTATTGCAATTTGCTTGCTTTCCACGGTCATGGTCGTTTTATAATGTCTTTAAGTTTAATCCAAAAGTCATTGCGCTACTTTAGGTAAAAAATAACCCACAACTAATAAGAGATCCCGTGAGATCTTAACATGCTTTCACACAACCCGATACTTTTTTTATTTTATTTTTGGTTGCCATATAATGTATTTTACGGGTTCTAAGTTGAGCCTAAGTTGTTGTCATATCCGTTCTTCCAGGGTACACCCTTCTCCCTTTTGGTCCAATGATACCAAGGAGCCCCTAAAATACTATCTACCCTTCCAAATTCCAGCGAGACTGATCTCAGTATATAAGTGGAGATTGTGGTAGGTGTGGTCTTAGCTCAGTAGTAGAGTTGTTGTCGTGCGTGCCAGTGGTATGCGAGTTCAATTTTCTATGGTCCTGTGTGTGTACGTGAGAATAGACCCTCTCCATTCCTAAACGTGCCAACCAAAAAATAAAATAAAATAAGTAACGGGTTATGTGAAAACATGTTAAGATCTCACAGGATCTCTTATTAGTTGTGTGGCTTATTTTTTACCAAAAGTAGTGCAATGACTTT